TCTCCCTCTCTCTCTGCCCCTCCCCCGTTCATGCTCTGTCTCTCTCTGTCCCAAAAATAAATAAACATTGAAAAAAAAAATAAAGCTAAATTACTTACCTAATTAGGCGCTTGGGAGCTGGCAGGAGGTAGTGGGGGTTTTTGTTGATTTTTTTTTTTTAGACTTTTAGCACTGAAGCTGCGTGATAAAGTAACTGTGTAATTAGAAATTAATTTCTCACTCTCGTAAGTGATGTCTTACTTGGGGCCCGAAGGAAGTCAGCCCAATGGTTATTCACCCATAGAGCGACCCCTCTTCACCTTCTTTTTTGGAGGGGGGGGTCCCCCACAGCTGTCATCCAGGGTGGGAGGCGGTAGCTTCTTCTGTCACAGGTGGTGCTCATGCTAAGTAGATCCCTGAGTGCCTACTGGGTGCTGTGTGGGGCTGGTGCGGGGGTGCGTCTGAGGGGGGGGTGCGTGGCCAGCATTCAACCTGTCTGTGGGAATGCTGCAGTGTCCCTCCCCCGCCTCCCTGCTGTCTCTGGTCCCGTTCTGAGGCCCGCTCCACAGTCTCTCAGGGGGTCCCGATTGTGCCCCCATTCTCCACAGCAGTAGCCGGCTCACCAACAGCCCCTCATTGGCTTTTCTCAGTTTCCACTCCCTCGACATACTCCCCGGGATCACCTCCTGAGTTCTTGGCTCAGGATCTGCTTCCGGGGAACCCATGTTAGACAGGAGATGTGAACAGACTGTGGAGTAAGCCGGAGCAGATGGGGTGAATTCAGCCTTTGGTGCAGGGAAGGGCTGAGCAGAGGCTCCGTGGAGGAGACGGTCTTGAAGGGAGGCTGAGAGCAAGGGGAAGGGGCACCGAGCAAAGGAAAGGGGGGCAAGAATGGCGTGTATTTGGGGAGCTTGATAGGCCGCAGACGTGCAGAGGAGGAGCAGGGGTTGGGGGAGGGGAAGGCCAGACCGGAGGGCCTTGTAGGCCATGGTCAGGGGCTTAGACTTTGTTCTGATGGCAGTGGGGAGCCATGGAGGGTTTAAGTTGGGGAGGGACACAGCTAGATTTGAGTTTTAGGAAGTTTTGGCTGACTGAAGAAGGAGTGTGGGAGGAAGAAGCAGGAGACAGGAGCACAGTCAGGAGGCTGCTCAAGCTGTCAGGAGAAAGGGATGGTGATGGGACTAGGGCAGGGGTCAGGGAGCTGTGAGCAGACTGTCCCAAGTTGGGGCACAGCGTTACTGTCAGGACAGCACAGTTCCCAGGGCATAGAATTAAACCCACAGTTCTACCCTTGCAACTCTGCGCATCTCTCCCCATCCTTGTCCGGTGTCCCCCTTTCTATCCTCTTTCTCTCAAAGAAGAGTGAGGACTGTTAGATTCTTCACTGTGCACCTACTATGTGTTCTTTATCACTGAATGCATTTATACCCTGTCTTGTTTCCCAGACGGGGGATGCAGGTGCAATATTACACCCCCCAGGTAGATATATAGAAGAGAGAGTTAGAATCTCAGAGAAATGTTTAGGCAATTGGGTTTCCCGGAAGGATCCACCGTACCAAGATCTCTCCTGCTGCCAAGGACTCAGTAACTCATCACCTTTCCCCTTTCGACTTGACTGCCAGGAAGCTCAGAGCTACGATCCTAACACTAAATTCTCTGAGAAATTTCTCATGGGAGCTTTTCAGTGGAGACCCTGAGGGCTGCAAGTTGAGGTCTCCGGGGAGTTTTTGCAGTAGGCTGCAGAAGGTGTGATGTGTCCCCACACTGAAGGCTGGGAGGGTCAGGTCGGGTCAGGGGCAAAGGGGAGGGGCTGGGCCTGCCAGGCAGTGGCTGCTTCAGTCCACCTCAGAGATGGGCGTGAGTCTCATCAGCTTCCCATGAGCGGGTTGGCATCGGAGAGGTGCTCAGACCCTAAAGCTTCTGACTCTGGGTAATCGTGGGCCTTGGAAACACTCAGTTACATCCTGCGCCTCGCTCGCAACCCAGGGGCCAGTCCCCTCCTTGTTTTAGAGAAACGTAAAGGAGGCGAACCTGATTTCTCACCGTGGGGTTTGTTCATCTGTATCTGTAGATATTTCCCATCCTCGCCCTGGCCTGTCGCCTGTCCCCTGTCCCCTGTCGGGGGTGGGGGGTGGGGGGCAGGCCACGGTGGGCCTGCCTCACTTAATTAAGAGTCGGTAGTTCCAGTCTGTGGAGCATAGGTTCTGCCTGGGGGGACACGGAACCAGGGCAGCGGGGCAAGGTGTGGAATCCTGGTCCAGGGGAGGGTGAGGCAGGGTGCGGTGGGATCCAAGTAAAGGGGGGCTTGAACGGGTTAACGCAGGTGAGGAGCGAGAACTGCCTGGCAAGAGGTAGGCCCTCAAAAAGCATGTGTTTTCTTTGTCTAGCCACCCCTCTATGAGGCATGTATTTATTTTTATTGCGAGACTTCATGGGGATGGGGACAAATCCTGGGCTGTCACCTGCCAGAGCTCAGCAGGTGTGCCCTGGGGCTCCCAAAACAAAGGATCCCGAGGGGGCTCAATCTGGCAGAGGCTGGGATCCCCCACCCCAGCACACCCCAGCAAAGCATAAACTGAGCTCTGGGGGTCTCGCTCTCCCCAGGGCCTGGTGCTGCCCGCCCCTTGGCAGGATGGAGGGAGCCAGGGCGGAAGGAAGAGGGCTGG